TGACTTTCGAGTCACCGGAACAACTCAAATCTTACTTAAACAATCCCAAAATTTATAACCCAACTACTAAATGTATAGATTCGAGAATGGGACAAAAACTTACCTCAAACCGACAAGAAATTGATGGAACCTTGCTTGCTTTTGGCCGTCGGGTTTCCTCCTAGGTTATCAATGGACTCTTCCAAGCTCTTAGGGTTTCTCTCTAGCGATTATCACAATAAGAGGAATTAGGGTTAGGTTTAAATGTGAATTAGGGTTAGGCTAAAATATGAATTAGGGTTAGGTTTAGGGTTAGGCTAAAATATGAATTAGGGTTAGGTTTAAATAAGGATTAGGTTTAGGTTTATATAAGGAAAAAAAAACCCTAATTAAACCCTAATCTAAATACAAAAGCCCAAGCCCCAGCCCATCATCCAAATTGCAAAGTTAAAGCGAGTTATGCAGAACTAACCCCTCAAGTTTGGTCAACTTCCGAAACTAACCCAAACTTAATATATATATATATATATATATATATATATATACACACACACACATATCTGACGGGTATTATATGATACCTGTCGGATTAATATTCACCGGAGGCTATCTGATTTTAGTGTGTTCATTTGCTTTTAGTTGAACCGAAATAGTAAAACATGTACATAGCGGTATAATGTCTTGGTTTATCCAAAAAAGGTTGGGTTCCGATGAGAATGGAAGTTATAGTAAAAAGGATCTCCATCATTAGATCAATCCTAATTAAAGATCAACACTAATGAGATACATGGAAATGTACTGGATCAATTCCAGTATCAAGAAAAATTCATTACGTGAGATTGAGATTAAAAGTGATCAAGGGTACAGATCCCTTCTTGACTTCTAATTTTAACTTTTATTCTCACACGATACTTCATTTATCCGAAATAGTAAAAAATTAATCCAAAAACCAAAAAAGTTACATTTATTTGATTTAATTGAGCAGTTTAAGTCGAAAAACAGATAACCCAAAATCGTCTTAGTTCAGATAAATTACTCGGTTTCAGAATGTTTTCTTTGACACCTCTAACTCCCTAAGTGTGTTGCCGATAGTAAAAGTTTTTGGATCGGCCACTACTGTTATCGGTTCGATCCTTAATTAAAGTTAATTATTTGTTGTAGGGGAAGTTTTAGTTCATTTTCCACAAATGTTTCCAAAGTCTATCCAAGCCATTATTAATTGTAATGACATCATCTACTACCTCAAGTTGATGTTGATCCCTTTTGAAGGTTTGACTTTGATATCATCTTGAATTTTATTCATTTTTGGATATTTGGCATGTTGTGAATAGCATGCAATCGTTGACATATATATATATATATATATATATATATATATATATATATATACATGGGATCATGTGAGACCAGCCTGTTTTCGTGAGATCAGTGAGGCCACCTTTTTACACTTGAAACTTCACAGCAAAATGCTGTGAAAGTGACTTTTTTTAACCTTCACAGTGTTTTTGCAGTGAAGTTTACGTGTAAAAATGTGGTCTCACGGGTCTCAAGATAACAGGTTGGTCTAACGTGAACCCAATCATATATATATGGTTGGGTTCACGTGAGACCAGCCTATTTTCGATTGTGAGACCACATTTTTACACTTGAAATTTCACAGTAAAACATTGTGAAGGTAGGAAAAAAAACATTCACAGCAAATACACTGTGAAGGATACCTTCACAGCGTTTTGTTGTGAAGTTTCAAGTGTAAAAATGTGGTATCATGGAGAGAGAAGGTTTACTTTACAAACCATGTTATTTGTACAAACATCATTCAACTAATCATAATTTTTCATTTTGTTGTAAATATGAGAGGAATTAATCATTTTTATTGTGAAAGGTGTTAATCATGAATATTATCACCTTCAATATATTAATTTTAAATAAATACATGAAACAATTTTATTAAAAAAAATTAAGTATTATACGAAAAAATTTCATAACTTTATATGAAACAACTTCATCTAGAAAAGTATTATATGAAACAATTTCATGAAACAAAATTATTAAATTAAACAATAAAATCAACAGACAAGGAAAAGTTTACACGGTTTGTACAAATATGAGTGGTTTGCATTTGATCACTCATGTATAATATATATATATATATATATAATGTCACGCCATATGGTGGGCCATGATTATTAATTTTCTGTTTACATTTTTTACCTTGGATAGGTGCATGGTCCACATCTAATCGTTCTGGAGAATGTAATATAAAACCATTTAAAGAAAGAAAATAAGCATTTAGCTTCTTGAA